TCGGACCATCGAAACGGGCATTCGTCGGGCCGAATTAGTGGATATTCGGATTAAGGTGAGTTCGGATTAAAGTGTCTATACTATACAACTCTTTAATTTCGGAAACTTTAATGTAAAGCTCATTCTTGACATAAGCCCCCAAAACACCAAGGACAAGGGCGGCCTAAAAATAAAGACGTATTAAAATTGCCATTTAAATTATGATTTTTATTACCTTTGTAGCTAAATATATCTCATCCGGAGCATTTTGTAAGAATTGCTTAACATTTTCTTCTGTAAAAAATCTTTGAGTTCTTAGCTACGTACTCGTCGGAACAGCGTTTTCACAAAGTTTTTAATTATTTGTATCTGAAATATCGATATTGTGTTTCACATTTATCGTTGCTTTTAGGATTGAATATATTTTCCATAGCCAAGGATTTTCATTTTTTTAATAAATCACCGAAAATTGCAGAAAACATTTTCAGAAAAGGAGTCCGTTTTCTTGTTGCCAATCCCTCAACAGTGCATAATATTTTTCATATTCATGTTTCAATTTTTGCGAAGGCAGATTCTCGCTTATATTATTTGCATAATTTCTAATTTCAGGTGGAGTATTATCAAATTCTATATCTGATTCACTTGATTTTTAACTCATTATTTTATTTACTTTAAAACTTGTCTGAAAATAATTATTACGATACAGTCATTTACACTTGACACATACGATTATGGTATATTCATTCTGTACCTTGTTATAAAATGAAAATACATGCAAAACACATAAGAAGCAAGTGTTTCGGAATAAATATTCTAACTCGAGAGTGAGAATTTTTACATTCTATTATTATTATTAAAAATGATTTCAGAATAATTATTACATTCGCTAATGGTCGTGGAGAAAATTAATTTTGTTATGGCTAATTTTGTGTTTAACAATCCGCATGCTTTTATCAACATATAATCCTTTTCCCAAAAAGTACCGTAATGATACACTATTGGAATCAAGTAACAAATTTAAACTTTATACTCCAATTATTTTTAATATTAACTTCACAAAAAGATATTTTGTGTCAGTATAACCCTTTGATTAAAATTTAATAATAAACAAATATAAAATATATAGTGTCAAATTTTTTTATATAAATAAACAATACTTAAAAACTAATAACTTAATTAATTGAAAGAATTGTCTTCTATTTTCTTATAAAAAATTTTCAACTTTAATTAATAATATTAATTATTAATTAATAATGAATAGCCCTATTGCTGCTTGAGACTTGAAACAAAGCGGAGAATGGCCAGTGCAGCGTTGACGTGTTTACTATGCATTTAATATGGATTAGAATATATTGCTTTTAACCATAAAATATCTCTGGAGGAAAGAAAATATTTTTTTCAGATTGCTATCCTGAATCTAAAATATACAGATGTTAAAAAAAAGTAGGTCAAACCGTAAACCACAAGGTCTTTGGGAAAAATTAATGTAGCCGAAATGGACGCTTTTAGAGATAATTACGAAACTTTCAGCATAACTAATTATGCACCTGATAGATCCTTTTGCAAAATTTCAGCACATTTTATCACATAGATTCTGAGTTATGCTTAATAAAAATTGGCTGTGTGTAGCAAAGGCTTAATGGCGCCGCCTCGAAAAATGTGATTACAATGAAAACGTTGCTGTAGCTAAATAACCCCATTCGAGAAACTGCTCAAGGCACGACTAATTCATGTAAAAATACGTAATTATAACAATCTGGAAAGGATTGACCAGTTAGGATTAAAGATATTAATATTCAAACTTTCAAAGTTTTTCGTATGATTATTCGCATAAATGAAACGCAGCAACGTCGCATATTGAAGAAAGGTTAGTTCGGTCGCGCGCTGACATTCTAAAAAATTTTGAACTAAAACCTTTTTTGTTTCAGTTTGCGTTTTTCGTTTATACAATGACGATTCTTAAAAATTTTTTTAAAAACACCAAAAAATTGTAATGCATCTACTATATTTAACACTAACCTAACCTTGTGCACGGTAAATATAAGTTTGCATCAATCTCTCTCTCACACAGTTGCTATCTGTACGACGTTGTCAGTTGTCGAAACTATGTGACTCAAATATAAGACATGCTTGAAAATTTTCTACTTACACTTCGTAATTGGGATATACTACTTTAATGAGATTTATCTTATGCCATATTTCACTTGGGTACCTTTTTTTTCAAGATACAAGGTGGCAAAGTTTTAATTAAAAAAAAATATTTTAATAACACTTATTGCGTTTTTCACAGAAATTTTGTAGACTGGCTTGTGGGGATGCCAATTCTGACTTTATTTAAATGAAACAATATGATATAGATATTAACTCGTTTACGAACTACGTTTTTCAATCCTGCTTGGATTGAAACATTAGCGCTCCACAGGCCGGTCTTCTTTTAAAAATTGGTCAGTACCCTTTCTCACATTTTTTTAAAACAGCTATCGTGCTGTCAAATTTTTTTTCTGCGTATTTTGTTTGTCTTGATTGCTTTATGATGCAGTTTTTATTAAACATATTAATGAAGTAATTTAAATTTTTTACCACTGAAAAATAGTGAATTTAATATTACGAATTTAAGACAGCAACTCTAATTACAAATAACTTTCTCTACACGGTGTCCGGAAATTCATGCAACAAAATTCTTAAGACAAATTCAGGGGACCCATATTTTTTCTTTTTGCCAACTGGCCCCTCTTTCGGTGTTACAGCCCCTGAAATCTGCCCCTAAGAAGTCTTTTTTATATCTCAAAACCATGTTGTACGAGAATCACTAAATTTGGTACACGGGGGTTTTATGACGTGGAATCTGATGCTACATTTTTTGAAGAGAAACCCCCTCAAGACACTTTTTCGTGGCCCCCCTTGTCTTTGGAATCAGAAAAATTTGGTTGCAAATTTGATTTTTAGTTATTAGTTAGAAAGCCATTGAATTTAGAAACTTTTTCGTTTCTTGATATTTGTTTGGAAAAACGCAATGTTTTTGAGGAAAATGGCGAATCACGATATGCATTCGATCACTTTTTGACATTTTTCTCGAAAACATTGCGTTTTTTTACGAAAAAGTATAAAGAGACAAAAAGTTTATAAATTTAATGGCTAGTAGACTGATAATTTTTAAGAAATTTAAATATGCGACCAAATTTTTTTGGCTCCAAAGACAAGGGGGCCCACGAAAAATTGTCTTAAGGGGGTTCCCGGCCAATAAACGTAGCACCATCAGATTCCACATGTCATATAACCCCTGTGTACCAAATTTAGTGATTCTCGTACAAGGTTCTGAGATATAAAAAAAAAATATTCTTAGAGGCGGACTTCAGGGGGCTGTAACTCCGAAAGAGGGGGCCACTTGGCAAAAATAAAAAATACGGGTCCCCTAAATTTGTCTTAAGAATCTGTGACCAAATTTTGTTGCATTAATTTCAGGGTATAATGGCTTTTTCTTGTTAAATGGAAAATAAAGGAAATTTCCTCTTATCGACTCTAACCATGGGCTGCTACAAATTTGCTTCTCACTACAGGGATCTCAGAAATGGTAAGAGGTACAAACTAACTTAAACCAACATTATGCCTAAAAAATTAAGGCTAACATGATTAGTTTTCAAAATATTTTCATTTTCATTATGTGCCTTGCTTGAGGTGGTATCTATACAAAAAAAAGAACACTTTCTCTTGACAACTTTTTGTTCTCTATCGAATGGAATAATCAATTTTTATATGTAACATTTCGTCTTTCCAGGACCATCATCAACTTAATTTTTTTAAATACGTCCCTGAAAATTTTATTACATTTTTTGCAAGCCTTCATGATCCCCAATACTGTATTGCTTCAACCCGAACGTTTTGTCTCAAAAAATTCATGTTCAGTGTTTTCGTTCCAAATTTATCTAAATTTTTTATTTAGATTTCTACCCCTGTGAAATCCACCTAGTTATTTAAACCATTACCATCATCTGGTCATACATACCTAATTCGATAAGTTGTTGTGTCGAAGTTAACACATTACAATTTTAATTTTATTATGATAAATTAATTCTTAAAAATGCATTTGAACAACCAAAACTCCAAATGAATATTGTACTTTCATAAATTACGGTAAATGTTCAAAAACATTTCCGTTTTGGCAAATGTTGAAAATGAAGATAATTTGTAATATTTTCGGAATTTATTATACCTGTAACTGCAACTGTGAAATGTCAGATGTATTTGTATGAATATCCTGAAAAAATTAGATCAGAATTTGTTTGAATTTTGAGCACTCGGAGAAGCCTAGAAATAAATAACTATGGGCACGGGCACTCTAATAATATTTTATTGAAACATGTGACGATAATAGTTTAAAAAATTAGGTGGATTTCACAGGATCTTTCTAACGACACTTAAAGTGGGTGATAATTCAATAAACAGAAATCTAAATAAAGAATTTAGATAAAGGATTGAATACACTGAAGATGAATTTTTCGAGACAAAACGTCTGAATCTGGTTTAGGTCGGAGGCAGTACAGTATTGGGGGTCATTAAGGCTTGCAAAAATGTAATCAAAATTCCAGGGCAGTATTTAAAAAAATGAAGTTGATGATGGGCCTGGAAAGTCGAAACGTGACAATCATGACATACAAAAATTGATTATTCCATTCTATAGAGGGTAAAAAGTTGTCATGAGAAAGTCACCTCAAACAAGGCTGAAATGAAACAAAACGAATTTCCAAAATTTCGTTTTATTTCAAATATTTCAAAAACTAATCATGCTTGATTTTTTAGAGACATAATATTGGTCCCCTGGTTAGGCAATTTCGCCCCTATTTAAGCTAGTTCGTATCTCTTACCGTTTCCGAGATTCCTGTAGTGAGAAGCGAATTTGTAACAGCCTGTATGTATGGTATTGTATTTCTTGTTAGTTTTAAAAAATAATTATCCACATATATATATTAATAAATATATTTATATAAATATTTAATATTAAAAAATATATTTTTTATATTTAGTGCTATTGCTCGTAAAGCTTCCAAGAGGAGGATAAGTGACAAAGATGATTCTGGTGATGAAAAATTGAAGGAAGTTAGATCAAATGATGATGTGCAAAACACTGAAAGTAAAGATCCATCAGAAAAGTCAGTAAAAAAGGAAAAAGATACTTCTGAAGATGTTGAAAGTGGTGATGAGAAAGCTAAAAAGAAAACCTTTATTAAGTTAAATTGTCCACATTGTGGAATAAAAACAATTACTTTCAGAAAATATGATATTCATCTTACTAGTAGAACTCATTTAATTGCAATGAGAAAAATTGCTTTGAAACAGAAATCAATTTTAGCTCAAATGAGACAAGCACAAAGAAATACCCAGAATGAGCTAGAAAAAAACAGTGATGATTTGACATCAAAAACAAATTTTTGTCCATTATGTAAGCTAAATTATAAACAGAAGAAAGCCGTTCACCAATTATCTGAAGCTCATAAGAACATGAAGAAATTTTTGATGCCATATTGTAAAGTTTGTAATATTACATTCAAGAGTCCCATGATTTTCGAAAACCATTGCTGCTCCATCGAACACATTAAGGTAAGTTGACTTAAAATTATTAGATTATTTATTTTTTAATCTCCAAAAGATTTTAAATATTCTTACTATTTTTGAAAATAGGACAGTGTAGCACTGTTCTTAATTTTGTGTGGCAAAATGTTTTAAAAGTGGAGGCACATGTAATAACTTTTTTAAAGAACCTCCGCAAACTTTTTAAACGCTTTAATTAATATTGTGTTTAAACAGTAAGAAAATTATAACATTCTCATTATAACAATTCTCAATTATAACATTCTCATCAGCCGAAAATCATAACATTCTCACACAGCAGTAATTTTTTTTTAGAGGAAACAAAGAATGGAAAATTGCAGCAGTGACGTTTCTGCAGATGAAGACAATTTAGAGAATTTTACAACGATAGACTCTGTTGGAGATGGCGAGGGTAAGATCATGAATTTTTGTCTTTAATAAACAATAATTTTGTAATGATTTTTTTTTACTGGATTGTATGTTACACAAGTATTGTTTCAGGTTCAGAAAATGGAGATAAAAAAGAAGACACAAAGGAACCAGTAAATGTTGGCATTGAACAAATTCGAAAGATCGAGGCACACTACTGTGACCTTTGCAAAATGTATTTGCCGAGAGGCGAAGATGTTGATATGCCAAAAATTTTGTCTAAACATTGTAAACTAAGAGTTCATATGCAGCGATATGTACGTTATAAAGAGGATCAGGATCTGGAGAAGCGTGCTGAAAAATTACAGAGGAAGGAATTAGCCGAGAAAGAAGTTATGGAAAAAAAGGAAAAACATGATAAAGATATCAATCCAGAGTCTGTAAGCATTGTAAAAGATGAGAAAGATGTTGAAACGCTTTTAAAATGTGCTGATGATGACGAAGCCAGAGATGATAAACTATGGGCCGATGTAGACAAGGATTTAGGAGATATTCTTGCTGAAGCTGAATCAGGGAATAAAAGTTCCGATGAAGATGATGATTCTCACATAAATGGGGAACGTTATGACAGGTATGTGTTTTATTTATTTACAAGATTGGACAAATAAAAATACATTATAACCTCCTAATTGCGAACACGCACGGGAATCCTGACTTGTCCAGATATGGAGGTGTTCATTATTTAGAGGTGGTGTAAATAATGAAACAAACTCAGGTTTCATTTTATTTGATATATCAATATTAAAATAGGACATAATTTCAAAAATCATAAAGAAGTTAAATAGCATAAATTTATTGTGTATGTTAACTAAAAATATGCGGAGAAAAAAAAATGTTAAGCATTGAGTACGCTTACCACTATAATCTACCAAAGCTCATTTGAAATAATCTTTATTGTCATGATTCACATTGAGAAATGTTCTTAGTGATGTTAAAATTGTTAAAGCCTCAAAATTCTCAAGGTTTTTTAAACTTTTATGATAATTCCGAAGTAATTGAAATATGAAGTAATAATTGCAAATTTCTCTTTTTCAATCTCAGTTTCACTTCATTCATTTTCAGTCAATCAATAATAGAGACATTTGGATTTTCAGTTATTAAATCCTCCTCAATCATTGAGTACAAGGCGGTTAAATAATAATTTGAAAATATTAATATGCTTTAAATTTTTTTTAATCATGCCATCGTATTATATTCATTTTTCTCTATCTGGTCTTAAAATTAATGACATTATGACTGAATCACCCTGTATACAGGGTGTCTGGTAAATATATGGCATACTCTCGGGAGTGTATAGAGGAGATCAAAATAACCCTAGTTTGTCATAAAAATTTTTTTCCTAAAGTGCCCCTTAAGGGAGATACAGAGTCCCAAAGGAGTACCCAGCGATTTACCTTTTCGGTTCTAACTTTTGAACCGATTTGTATAATTTAATGAAATTTTAATATTTTATGTAGGCCATAAAGGCTCATAACACCATGCTACAGTAGATGTGTTACACTTTCAGGGAAGTCGGGAATGGACTTGCCAGCTCATTGTTGGGCCAAAATTTTGACAGGTGTTATTTTATAAAGCTGAAAACTGAATTTTTAAATAGTTCTGTCATTCCTCTTTAAAAAAGATATTCTACATTTGTTTCGATAAAATTAGCTGTTTTCGAAAAATATCAGTTTTTGTCCAAAAGGTACATGTCATATCTCCCGCTGATTATCCTGCAAGAGTGAATTACGCAAATTTATTTCTGCAACGATTTAGGCAAAATCCAAATTTTACTAGTATTATTTTGTTGAGACGGAGTAATAAATTGCCATAATTTGCATATCTGGCATGAAGAAAATTCCCATGCAATAGTACAGACAAGGCACCAACAAAGGCTCATGGTTAACATATGAGCGGGAATCATTGGGAATTATCTCATTGGACCCCTTCGAGTGTCTCCATTAAGGGGCACTTTAAGAATTTTTTTTTTATAACACGGGTTATTTTGACCTCCCCTATACACTTCCGAGAGTATGCCATATACTTACCAAATACCCTGTATACAGGGTGATTCAGTCATAATGTCATTAATTTTAAGAGCAGATAGAGAAAAATGAGTATAATACGATGGTATGATTAATAAAAAATTAAAATGCATATTTAAGCTGAAAATAATATTTTCAAATTATTATTTAACCCCCTTTTCAGGCTGTTACTGACCGGCTGACGAGCCGATTATTCACAGTTTGCGCACTGCTACGATATGAACAAGGCGCCCTAGATGCAACGTTGCCATATTTATATATTTTTGCTCATATAAAGACAATAAATAAACGGTTTGCTCACGTCAGCCAATAATAATTTAAAGTGCTATAAATTATTTTTTATAATTATGCAATCAATATATTAAATTGTTATTGTTGCCCAGCAAGAACCTCGAGCAGGTCTGAGCATGCCTTGCCAAAAATCAGTTTTTATTAACATAATGTTAATTTTTTCAAATATTCAAATACATTACCGTTACGATCTATGTACAAGTGTACACGTTGGATAGATGAGCGGCTGATGCGATGGAATAAACCAGGGTTGTTATGTATTTCTTCAGCGGCATCTTCGATACAATTCCGCAACTGTAGATTTATGGTATTTATGATATGGAAGGTGGTAGATTTGAATAAACGCTATAAATTGTTAATGGTTTTGTATCCGTGTATAGTGTATTTTATACAGGGTGTTTTTGAATGGATTGGCATAAATGATACCAGTGAATCTACATTTCAAAAGAACACGATCTGCAAAAAATCGCCTTAGTAAAATGTTCACCCCTGAAGAGATATGGGCCATCAAAGTTTCCAAAAAAATTATGAAAATTGGCTGTAATTTGAAAACCGAACGAGGTACAAATAACAAATTTTTTACAGGTTGTTTACTAATACAGATGCGAGTTTTCAACTATTTTTCGAAAATTTTAACCCCTCGAAAGGGGTTGAAATAACCACCCCTCAAGCCATTTTTTGCCATAACTTTTATATTTCGTAAAAACTCGATATCCAAAAATACGCATTAGATAAACTGGTTCTTTTAGAAACTTTTACCTCTCTAGCAATTTTCCTTTAAAACTTTTCGTTTATTAATAAAAAAATAAAATGTATTACCATTCACCTCACACCGTATATGATTGCAATCAATCAAAGAAAAACTAAGTGTGCTGCTGTCATGCCAGTTGTCACAATTAACTCTTCTGTAAGTTGTCACTGTTATCAGCTAAATACTTTTTGGGTGTAAATTAACAAGAATTATGCCAAATTTTACTAATGATGAATATGTGGACATGCTACAAGTGTTTTTTTCTACGATCGTGCAAAATTTACTACTTATTGCACTACCTACTGTGCCAAAAGTTTAACTTTTTTTACAGTAGTACAAAAAAAATATTGATTACAAGTTTAATCTAAGCATATCCATAAGTACCTAACGTCTGACATTGACAATTTGCGCAATTAATTTCCAGTTGTCAGTTAAAATTTTAATATTATGTAAAATACTGTTAAATAAAATTTGAAATAAAAACAATCGTAGAAAAAATGTTGCGTGCAACATGTGCAAAAAGCATATTTGTTGCACTTAACATGATTGCAGCTCTCAACTTCGTCTCGAGCTGCAAACTTCATGCATCGTACAACAAATACACACTCTTTACAGTAGTTGCACAAATAACTGTTTGAATGTCGCAGAAACTTTTATTAAATAGAAGTACAATGAAAACGAAACTAAGAAATAATTTATTATCAAAAAGAGAAAAAACAAAAAACTTAGTTAAAGGACATTTTCAAAATAATTGCCATTTCTTTCTAAACACAACCTAACACGTTTATCAAAGTTGTTACGGACTCGAGCAAAAATTATGGGATTGTTGCGAATCTCATCAGCCGCCGCGAATATTCTTTCCTGTAGCTCTTCAACACTGTCAACTGGGGTCGCATAAACAATACTTTTTATATGTCCCCAAAAGAAAAAATCCATGGGCGTTAGATCGGGAGAACGTGCAGGCCAAGAGATAGGTGCCTCATTGCCGCGACCTATCCAACGATTCGGGTAATTTAAATTAAGCCACCGCCTAACTACTACAGTGCTGTGAGCAGGAGCCCCGTCATGCATGTACCACATGGCCTGACGTACATTTAATGGTACTTCCTCCAGAAGTGGTGGTAGATGCTCATTTAAGAACTGCAAATATTCAACAGCACCAAGTCGATGAGGTAAAACAAAAGGGCCGACAAGCACATTTCCTACAATTCCTGCCCAAATGTTTAAACTAAAATTATGTTGAAATGTTGTCATAGATACTTCGTGAGAATCTTCAGGAGCCCAGGAATGAAGATTGTGCATATCGGTTAAACTATGTCTTTGAAAAGTTGCTTCATCTGTGAAAAGTATCTTTGAGGCAAAATTCAAATTATTTCTTAGAATATTAAGATACTCACTTATGCATGTCTGGTTCATGTAGAGCTTGAACTGGCTGGTGGTGAAAAGGATATAATAAATTATCATGGACAATATTCCAAACAACACTATGGGACACATTTAAGTGCATTGCTGTTTTCCTCGTACTAGTCTGACGATTTTCGTCAAACTCTTCAAGTACTGCATCCTCAAGATAAATAGTACGAACAGTAGGTCTTCGGCCGGTACCCTTAATATGCGGCTGTATTTTTCCAGTTTCCCAAAGTCTTCGTTCTACCGCCGAAAAAATTTGTCTGTGGGGAACTTGACGATTTGGATATCTCTCATTATACGCTCTTGTTGCCGCAGCACAGTTTTTGCGACATTCAAAATACACTTGTAGCATGTCCACATATTCATCATTAGTAAAATTTGGCATAATTCTTGTTAATTTACACCCAAAAAGTATTTAGCTGAAAACAGTGACAACTTACAGAAGAGTTAATTGTGACAACTGGCATGACAGCAGCACACTTAGTTTTTCTTTGATTTATTGCAATCATATACGGTGTGAGGTGAATGGTAATACATTCTATTTTTTTATTAATAGACGAAAACTTTTAAAGGAAAATTGCTAGAGAGGTAAAAGTTTCTAAAAGAACCAGTTTATATAATGCGTATTTTTGGATATCGAGTTTTTACGAAATATAAAAGTTATGACAAAAAATGGCTTGAGGAGTGGTCATTTCAACCCCTTTCGAGGCGTTAAAATTTTCGAAAAATAGTTGAAAACTCGCATCTGTATTAGTAAACAACCTGTAAAAAATTTGTTATTTGTACCTCGTTCGGTTTTCAAATTACAGACAATTTTCATAATTTTTTTGGAAACTTTGATAGCCCATATCTCTTCAGGGGTGAACATTTTACTAAGACGATTTTTTGCAGATCGTGTTCTTTTGAAATGTAGATTAACTGGTATCATTTATGCTACTCCATTCAAAAACACCCTGTATATTCGGGTATTTAGTAGTGTGCCGATTTTTTTTTTATTTGATAAAATATGGTGTGCCTACAAACAAGTAACTACCTCTACTTTATTTATTTTCTTTTAACGAAAGTTGACTTCGTGAAGTCAGGATTGTTAAAACATTTTACACTAGTAAGTTAATACAACTGTTAAAATTATTTATTATAAAATGCAGCATGCTCCTTTATTTACTTGCATACGTTGAACGCGGAACCCACAGTAAATGTGAACCACAGATTATGATGTGAACTTGGCAATGCTGTTCGCTTCAGCTGATAACTGATTCGTGACATTATGTTACAAAATTTTCCGAGCATCCAGGCATCTGGCAGGGCCCTCTTAGTGGGGTTATGAGTTGATTTCCTTCATTTTTAAGTCGAGTAAAAAATTTTTTTTTCCGATTTTCTGTCTATTAAGCCTTCTGAATACGTGGTTAAAATTAATGACATTGTTACTGAATCACCCTGTATAAGAAAAAACTAGTTCACAAAATTTTTAAAATGAATGGTAGAATACACGATTATACTTACTATTCTCAATTAAGATCCTTATGCAAATAATTAACTTGAGAGTGTTATATAAATTACTTTATTTCTTAAGAAAAACAGAATCTAATATTAATTCTAATCCTAGCTCTTTTTGGAAATAATGCAATGATAAAAGAAAATCTTATAATTTACCCTCCAACATGTATTTTGGTGATCGAACTGGTGATAGTAGTGTTTAAATTGTCAATCACTTTGCAAACTTTTTTTCTACTGTATATTCTAATTAGCAGGTTAATAATTATGTTTCTAAATATAGTCATAATTTTGATGTTAATATAAATCATTATTACATTGATGTCAAATTATGATACAAGTTATAAAAATTCCTAGTAGATTTTTATATGGACCTGATGGCATACCAATTTTTCTATTGAGAAACATTTGCCACATTTGCACATTTGCCTTGGCTAAACTATTACACAGTATTTTCAATTTGTCTATAAATACTGGCATATTTCCTTCTTTCTGGAAACAAAGTTATCTTAAACCTATTTTTTTTTAATCTGGTAAAAGAGAAAATGTGGAGAACTATAGAGCAGTTTGTTTGCAATCTGAAATACCAAAATTACTTGAATGCTTAATAACAAAGTTTATATCATGGAACTGCAAAAACGTAGTCGTTGATCAGCAACATGGTTTCTCCCGAAATAAATCTACATCTACTAATCTTGCTGTTTATAGTAATTACATTATCAGATCATTAGAAAATAAAGTTCCAAGTCGATTACATTTACACAGATTTCTCTAAAGCCTTTGATAGAGTCAATCATGGCATACTTATTGCAAAACTTAAAGTAGTGGGTTTTAATGAGAATAGTTTGCATTGGATTGATAGTTATCTAAAAGAAAGAGTGCAGTTTGTTAAATATGGAGATTTCATTTCTTCTGCTATCAATGTTTCCTTTGGGGTACCTCAGGGTTCCCATATGGGCCCAATTCTTTTTAATTTATTTGTAAATGACAATCGAATATAATAATGAACAGTTAATTTTTAATATTTGCTGATGATTTGAAGTAAATATTTAGGTCTGTTAAAAATTCTTCAAAAAGATTTGGATAATTCCTTCAATTGGTGTAACCTCAATGCTTTGCACTTAAATTTAAAAAAAAAAGCCTCAAGATAATATTCACGAGATCTCCTTCTCATTTGATCTACAACTAATACCCTCAAATAGTCATGTTCCTTAGTAGTAACTTCTCCAAAACTTAACCCTCTCCTTTAAAGCAGTTAAAAGTTATTGGCAAAAACCCATTTATTTAGTCATCTTCAAACGCGTCTACCTCCCATAAGGTGGATTTGCGGACCCATGTTTATATGGAATTTTTGTCTTATTTTGAGTTGACAAATCTACCCTCAAAGGGAAGTACTACTATTTCCGAACACCTTGTATATGTATTTTCACGTTTTGATGAAAAATGAGAGTGCCCCGTTTCCGTTTCATAGGGAGTCCGTTATTAAGAGATGGTAATAGAAAATCCCGTGACACCAAAATTGTTTGTTTTTTTAGATCTAGTTAGAAGCGTCTGTGTCTGTATTTATTTAATTTGAAGATTTTTTAGTACCTATGGATTTTTTTGCATTTTGTGGATTAAGTATACCGTTTTAGTCACTAATTTCAGGTTTACTTTTAATCACCGTATGATTCACTTTTACTCCTACACAATACAAACACTAATGCAATTCAAATGGTTGCCAAGGCAATTTGACAGTTATATAGTCGGCTCCAAATGATGCGGTAACTTGCCAAATATTTGTCAAAGTTAAACAAGTGGCATGTCATGTAATTGGTATATTTATATTTGTATTCAAATATATTATTTGTCATGTGCCTGTATTTATAGTGTATATGACATTGACAAATATTTGACACATTTTTGTTTGAAAATGTTTAACGAGTGACCACATAATCAGGAACTGGCATACCTAAATTTGATGTTTGCGATATATGTCAAACTAGTATACAAAATAATTTGAATTAATTAATTTTAGTTATTTACATTGGCTTCCTTATTTCTTCCACATTTACAGCAGTAAATATTAGAATGTTTACTTTTAAACGAAATTTCAAAGTCTTCATTTGTTTTTTCATGGCTATTATGATTGAATTAAAATAAATCGTAAAATTAACCTTTCTATCACATACGCTCGCTATGGGACCTATAGCATAGGGGGTTATATGCACGGAAAGTGCCAGATAGTATAACTCTCCAGCGTCGCACTATGAAAATAACATCACGCCGTTGTACTATCTGGCACTTTCCGTGCACATAACACCCTACGCCAAGGGTCGGCAAGTAATTTTAGGTGGGGTCCGGATACTTTTGAAAATTTTTAACGAGGTCCAGAAAAAAAATTAATATTTCTTATTTTTTTTTATTTTAATTTGGACTCAAATTTAATCTGCTTCTTAATTAAGAACTCAAAACACTCACATAATTGTAAAATACTAGAAACAATGATGAGATTGGCATTTAAACGTAAAAAACATTTTTTAAATAATTTATTTGAGTAATTTATACTTTAAAAAAATTTTTGGCGGTCCAGTATTTTACCTTCCGCGGTCCGGACCTGGACCACGGTCCGCCAGTTGCCGACCCTTGCCCTACGCTATAGGTCCCATAACGACTCGCACTTGTGATAGAAAATAGTATGTACTATTTTTGGCCATAAGAAAATCGAAAGTTAGTTACGAAAACATAAGGATCTAGTAGGCCTGGAACATGTGCACATAATAAGTAAAAAAAAAAAAAAACAGTTAAACTCAAATATTTATTAATTAGACCTTAAAAAGGAACTGGAGATTCCTTCAAAATTACAAATCCTACACCTGTTATGATTTTATTTTTAATATTGTTAATGTTTAAAAGGTTTTATTTAAATATTTTGGTTTTCAAAAATAAATATGGTTACCTAGATGCATTGTATGTAAAAGAACTACATACAAATGTTTTATTTGTTTCAGATTTAAATTGAGTGAAAAAAATGGTGATGATAACTTAAAAAAATTGGGAGATGAAAATGAGAAATTGGACAAAGAAGATAAGGAAGCTGACGTTGAAAAAAAATAAAAATTCCGTTGTTACTGGTAATTGATGTAGTAGATTTTAGTCCAGTAGGTGTGAATTTATTTCTAAGTGTGTATTTATCGGGAATTATTATCGTAGAAAAGTAAATCGTCAAAACGAATAATAAAATTTCTGTCAAAAATGCAGAATACCATAAACTTAGATTTAAATGTTCTATATATTTTGTTAATTTTATGATAGATATGGATAGTGGACAAAAATAGGATAATATGTTTTGTTTATTATTTTCTAGTATTCTATGTATTCATTAGAGTTACATTAATAAAGTGTACCAAACATTAATGATTTTTCGTGTTCCTACCGCACGAAGTAACTGGAAGTCGCTTCTGCAAAGCATATGTCATAACGAGTAAAGGTGATTCTTGTTTTGCACAGGAATGATGAATTTGAACTACTGAGTATGAGTGAATTATGTTTAATGCTTGATCATTCAAATGTGAACTGATTTCTTTGTCTATTTATATCAAAAACTACAAAAATGGACTGTAACTATGATTTCTTCAGGGTGTATACCTGTCAGGAAAATCTGAAATTTTCAAGTCTATCATCTTGTAGATCTGGATGTCGGGGAAAATCAAGGAATTTCTTCATTAAAATAAATCTTTCTTGTTTTAACTGTAATCCTTCTACAGGGTTAGTCAAAAATATGGAAACCTTTAAAAATGTCAGTGGGAAAGCATTTTTGAGATAAATGGTGAGGACAAATCTCAGCATTTTTCACAGCACATCTGATGGTAACCTTGACCCGGAGGTCAAGGTTCAAGTTCATATCATATCAAGATCAAGATATGAATGACCTCACTTATTGTTCCTTATTCATTAGCTCCGTCAGCTTAATATTTATCAAACAATATAAATCGTTAACTGTTTAGTCTAAACCAATCTGCAGCATATATCTTCAAGTGTTACAGTGTAAAGGACGCAAAATAGCAATAGGGACCACACGGAAATATAGACCATCCAATATGATGATTTCAGTCATCCAACCCGTCATCTTCATGTCCTCAGGAAGGCATATCTGCAACAAAAATTAGTATCGAGAAAAAAAAAAGCTGAAAGGTGCTCCAGTTACTTTCGTGGTACTCAGGGCTGTAAATTTTGTGGTGACACATTTTTTTCAGAAGAATGTTCAGCAGGTGCTGACTATAGTCACATATCGAACATCCGTGCAGGTTCGTACATCGATATCATTTATTTATACAGAGCCTTCATAAATGTTTACAAGCAAAGTAACTGCCCGAGTTTAGGCAACACAATAATGCACGATTGATACTGGTAACGAAAATTTCCTAAAATCTTAACATCACTAACAGTAATGATTTGTTTCCAACAATGACAAACTGTCACGTTTAAGTTCGAGATAATGGAATCGCTAATTGGTTGAATAGAATCTCTTGAAAAATTGCACCAATCACAGCTGGTGATCAAAATGTTGTGTTTTAATGTAATCTTGATCTTGTTTTAGTAATTTTTAATTTCTTCGAAATTTATTTGCCAAGGTGAAAGAAATAAAATAACATCCAAAAAAAATTACTGGTCACATGGTTTGTAATTATTTCTAAAGGCTGTGACTCATTGTTAGCGCCCTAATTTGGTTACTCCTGGTAGGGCGCACTCATATCTTGAGGACCACCATATTTAGACAGCAACCTACGACTTGCTACCACTGCTGCGTCAATATTCCATCACTTTCGGCACACTACGTTTAGAGTTTAAATCTCATATTCCACGTTTAGAGTTTAATTTTCAAACTACTTGCTTCTCTTACTCTGCTATAAATTTCTCCCTAGCTTTTGATCTAATTCTTAAAAAAGAAGTTAAAGCAATTTCTTTTGAATGATTTTACTACTAGTTAACAATTTGCTGTCACTAAACTGTCTTTTAGGATATTGTTAACTGTTTGGATTTTTTTTTTTTCACTTAGATAGTCACTACAAGTTTTCATTTTGATTCATATACCCGGTGTTCAAATAGTTTGGAACCTCTCCCCTCTATCAGAAAATACTGCTCAAACAAAAAAATGATTAGGACAAATGTTGCAGTTTTGAGTGAGCAATCCAACGGTGACCTAGACCATGACCTTCCTGGTCATTTAGAGGTCAACCTGAAAATTTTAGATGTTTAACCGTATATTTTTGACCCTGGAAATGAAAATAATGGTCTATTTTTAATAAATAACCTGATATTCTCGACAACGGAAATTGAGTGAGCGTAAAATTAAAAAATGACCAGTTACCTAAAGGTAACTGTAACGTCAAACGTAAGCAAAGAACTTAAGTTTCATAATGCTCTTACGAAAAAAATTTAACGGCAAAAAAAGGAATACGGTTCCATTTAAAATTTGCAACTTGACATCTAAATGACCTTGAAGGTCATGGTTAAAGTCACCGTTGGTCACTCAAGGTTTCTCGTGCGAGCGGTCGAACTGAGCGGACGTGTTTATTGTAAAGTGAAGTGCATTGCAACGAGCAAGATCTACCTGCCTTTATTAAGGCTACCTGGAAAGTATCCTTTTCTTTCCTCTTAACCACCGACCTAATCCCCGGCTCAAGCATAGAGGCCGTCGGCATCTTTGTTACAGGTATCTGTGCCGGGGTTATGCCCAGGTAAGTTTTTACTTTATTTATCAGTTATTTGCATTATTTTTGAATACATTTCTTTAAAATTGCGACCCCCGACAAACAATATACCAGACAGACTAATACACCAAAAGACACGTACGCCCCCGTAAGGGGGCATCCCCACACGACTAAAACC